CGGATCTAAGGGCATTTCTGTGCATACGGTTCACTTCATTAAAAATAATATACATCGCTGTGCAAATAAGCGTGAACTGATTAACAGTAACGCGTGCCTCCTATCGCGGACGAGAGAGATTTCCCAAGCTGACTATATTAAAACATGCACGAATAATAATATTCTTTGATGAATTTATTATCTTTTTCCCATTAAAAAAAATTAATTATGAATTCTGCTTGTATAGTGGTAAAAAATATAACAAATATAAAGCAATACTGTCTGGTAGAGAATAGATTATTGCCTAATTTAAAATAACTAATGTCGATTAAATGCATAATGTACATAATGTACATTTTGACTCCGCTTCAGAGAGGAGTTATATCCACTTAACAACTGCAGACTCCGACATCTTTGAAACATAATACTTGACATAAATGTGTTCTCTTGTATGTTTGTTAACATATATAAGGATTTTATAAGGTTGTCAAATATCTCCCTTCCGCCTTTTTGTATTATAAACCAAGAGCAAAAAGCGGATGGAGATATTTGACAACCTAATATTAAGACTTTGGAAATAGTTCAAACATTTTTGTTCATTTTATTATAATAATTTACTATTTTATGCATTTCAATATGCATACAAATCTCAAATTGACAAAAAACTTGGGAGTCAAAAATCAATTTTGTAATTATTTTTGAAGAAAATAAAGAATTCTTTGTATATGTTTATTTTTATATGAAAATAATGCAGTGAACCTTATATACGAAATAAGAATAAATCTTTATGTATAATATTTTCACAAAATCATAATACCTTACATTCTTTTATTATTTACTTTTCGAGAATTAATTATACATCAGATAGTTTGATTGCATACTGTTACTTTTACACACTTATAAAATCATAATTGTGTAAAAGTTATAATACAATACTAAATATTTTTATCTGGTTGTATACCATTGAAAGAGCTCATTTACGGACAGAGAGAATATAGATTACAAAATAGCATTATTTTGAGACATTATATACTTGGGAAGTCCTAAAACCGGCTGCTGTGAGACGAAAAAAGACCACTTCTTTTGACCCAAATCTTTGTATTAGTAAAAATCTCAAGCAGATATCTGCACATGTTAACAGATTTAGTACCAGTTTAGGGAAGTCGGATATAAAAAATCCTGTGAAAAACTCCACTCGGATTCACTCCGGAGTGATAACTTCGGAGTGAGTTACCCATCTCTAGTACATACATACGCGTATACATAAATATTTATTCTACATTATTCTGATCATTTATCTTTGATTGCCGTAAACATATGATATAGTTTAGAATTATAATGGGGTAGGGCGGGGCAAAACGTTCAATTTGACTTTGAGCAATTATATTGTGAACAAATAACACATATAAACTATCTGAAAACTATGTTCAGTAAAACTTTCAGCTAATTCATCATCATTGTATTCATCTATTATATTCATCATTGTATAAATGTGTATTTTGGCTGTGTTTTTAAAAAAATAATATCGAATGGTCCTTTATAGCACATAGGCGAGGTAAATGGTATAGCCAGGGGCAAAAAGGTCTAATGTCTTATTTTAATTTATTTTATTTATTTACGAAATAGTAGCTACATATATTGTTCAACAAATACAAAATATAAACTATATGGGTATATTTTCTACAGAGACAATATACTGTATATAACCCTGATCTGGTGATTTGTCAGTAATATTCATCAGCAGAGTTAAAATAACTAATTTATATCTTGTAAAATTCTCTATTTAACTTAATTTTTTTTATTTACTATTTTTTATTATTTTTACCTTTGCCAGAGTTAAGATTAACATGGTCCTTTTTAGCCCACCCACATGTAAGCTTTTATAGAAGTTATATAAAAAACTGTTGAATCTAATTTCAAATTAACAATATATCTTA